CATCTCATTGGGGGTCTTCCTCTCTTTCTCTGTCCCTCCACCTTAACAAACATGATATCCTTCTCCAGCGACTGGTCCCAGAGTTCCTTAAAGATCCCTATTGATCTTTTTTTACTAAAAACTCTTTTGAAATTACTGTAACATGATGAAGGTATCTTTTGTTCACACTAGGGTTTGGCTGGACCAGAAGGCAACCCAGGTCCTAAAGGTGTAAGAGTAAGTAAGCATTTGTATCATTTTGTTACACATACTTGGATGAAAGTAGAATAAAATTGTAAGTTTATTAGTTTCACATTTTATTGAAACTTTCTTTAGCTTCACATTTATTAGTTTCACATTTATTAGGTACAACAGTGTATTAGCTCCACATTTTCTTAGGAGCTTTACTTTCTTAGGAGCTTCAAATTTTAATGTAAGTTTATCTTGAAAACATGTAAAAACTTGTTTAATAGTTACTTTTGCTTTTATGCCTACAAAAAAAAGAGTCTTATCATGTAGGTTTTGTTTCCTTTATTTCAGTTAATTTCCAGTCCCTACCATAATGTTCATTTTGCATGTTAGAAGATACTTTATGGGTATTTACAGTATTATTTAAATATTAATATATACAGCACTAAAAAGTCATGATGAAAAATATGTTGAAATTTATATTCATTCAAGACAAAGGGAATTTTATAATAAGGACATCATCAGGAGTAAAAAATATATATATATCTGAAGAGAAGCAAATAAGCTTATCATATCAAGAACCTCCCATCGAACTTCAAAACCATCAAAGGAATTGTTAGCTGCCTTTCATATTGTTGTTGTTAGGCGCTGTCCAGTTGGTTCTGACTCATAGTGAGCAACTGGCGGGTTTGAACTGCCAACATAGTGGTTAGCAATGCAGTGCTTACTCTACAGCACCATACCAGGAGTCCTTTCATCATTAGGGGAATAAATAAAATTGCTATGATATTCATATTATGTGGTGTGCTCCAAATTAAAAGTCAAAGTTAGGTAGAATAAATAAAAGAGTAAACTAAAGTTGTTCAGAGTCTAGATCTCTGCTTTAATTTATATAAAATCCAGCAGCACCACCAGTTGCATTAAGTAGATTTCAACTCCTGATAATGCTATTTGTCAGTATAGAAGTGCACTCCAAAAGGTTTGCAGTAGCTGACTCTTTGGAAGTTTATCACCAGCCCTGTCTTCTGAGGAACTTTGGGTGGACTCAACTCTCCAGCCTTTCAGTAAGGAACCATATACATCTTTTAACTGAAAGACCTTTTAGAAATAAGTAAATCATCAAATATTTAAACAATATGTGCTATATTGATCTCTTACATTTTCAAAAATTCTTAAATATCTTAATAATTTTCATATATATTTTCTTCTTTTATTTTGCTATCAATTTTGTGAAGTAGGAGAATGTGAAAATAGTAAGTTAAGGGATTTTAAGTTACCATTCCATAGGAGAAAGATGATGCTTTCTGCTCCT